ACACAGCTACTGTAAGTAACACGAAACTTAGAAAGCCCGAAGCCCTTGGACGAACAGCGCTGTACTTCTGTGTGGTGCACAAACAGAACTCACAGCAGACACCAGGTGATTGGGGCATGTTGGATGCACAAACACCGAACTCACATCCATGGCAAATGTTGCGGAGGACATCCACCCAACTCCCGTAGTCCGTCCACAGGCGCCAAGCAGCGCTTGAAGGCTGGCGCCTGTGCCTGTGGACATGCATAGGCGGTGGCATCAAGTGGGTTTGGAGTCAATGCTTTTGTCCAAAGAAGGAGTTTTGGCGGTCTGGAATTGAGGAATTGATCGATTTCTTCAGCTCTTCTTCAGGTGCGACCGAATGAATGTCTTGGTTGACATGCTTGCATCTGACAACACTTGTTTTCGTTGCACCTTGGCGCTCTGGTAGAGGAGAGCCGCTTGTGAGCGTGGGTCTCCAGTGAGATGATCGCTACCTGAGGTCGGCGGACGGTGATCATCTGAACGCCTTGCGAAAGAATAAGACCTACAGCATGGCTCTCGTGTGAGCCATGTGTGAGCCGGACATCAGCCCTCCAAACATCTGCTGAGTTCTCCCAGTACAAGGGGCCGTCGGTCTGCTTCACCCTCCAGTTCTCTTGGAGATCCCTAAAGAAAGCCGGTTTCATTGGCAGGTTTCATGGTGGTCACCCCTTCAGGCAGCTGTTGAGAATAGAGCAAGTGACATGGTTCTGGTCAAAGCTTATTCATGATTGCCGATGTCTATTTTCGATGTGGAGAGGTGGGCGGAAGGCCGCCTGGCAGAAGAGAAAGTAAATGATGAAACCCACTGGTTTCGGGACCCTTCTCTTGGCGTCTCGTTTCCACCAAGCTGCAGCAGTCGCACGAGACCACGGTATCATCGCTCCAAAGGTTCTGAAGGCGGCAGCACTCTGTTCGCTCATCCAGTCTAAAAGGAAACCATCAGACCATCGTTGAGTTCTTGTCAGGGTCACGGGCAAGAACTCCTCTGACCACAACATCTGCTGACAAGGCTTAGGGCTGTTTTGCCTACGGGTGCAACTAGTCGCATTCCAAGCAATGAAGAGCATTGTAGGGGTGCTTTGTTGATGGTCACCTATTCGACCGAACATGTACCATAGGCCAAACAAAGGCGGCCTGAAATGTGCATGCCCGTTCTTGAAGCTTCACGCCTTGTCAGTACAGAAGTACGGCAGCAGGCCATGCCTTAGCAGCTTAGCAGAGCATCTTAGTTTCAGGCATCTGGCATCGGATTGGCTGGTTTGTGCTATGTTCCCTCCAGACCAGGCTCACACTTCAACATGGACCATCGGCACCCAAATCAAGCGCTTCACGAAGGACTTGTGCTGCCCAACCTTCCCCACCACAACATGCAGAAGACCCCAAAAGATTTTTTCTAGGGCGTCTTGAAGCACAGTCTATTGCAGTTTGATGCAGTTTGGATCCCTTTGCCACCCACATCCTGCGGTGCCCTGTCCCAGGACTCCCGCAGCAGCCATGGCACTTGGAGCCGCGAGCCTTCGAGACATGGACCCACTTCTTCGGCGTGACAAAGATACCTCCCCCGGGGCAAACGCTGAGCAGCGGCTCCCCACGCTGTTTCGGGGGCTGCGAACATGTTCCGGAAGAGGTGGACCAAAACCAAGGCCCGGCCCCGGCCTCTTACCGACGCATTTCCATGTTCTGTGGCCGAAGCAGTTGCTGCTCAAGTGGGAAGCCGGAAGCTGGTCAAGCAAGCCCTTATCTTTTTCAGCGGCACGGGGACACTATTGCTCCGAGTACACAACTCCATGATGGCAAACGTGCTGTAAACGGATCTCAGGGTCCCCTCAGCCTGAGATCTTGTCGATGAAGGTTTCTCTCTCAGACGTGATGTCTTCTCGGACCTCTGGACTCACTTCCTGGCCAGCCACGTGTCAAGCACAGTCACAGTCATGTATCAAAACAAGAACTCCATCGTTGGTCGGAAGACACATCCTGCTTGGCAATGGGGTTGCCAGTGTTCATTATTTTTCGATGGTGACCCAACCCCCCATAACAAAAAAATACCCAGCCTCCAGGGGGCTTAGCGCAACCCAACACCCATCTTTGCACGCACTAAAAGACTCATCTCATTGGACTTTTGCAGCGCAGCTCTTGCCAAAGCAAGCACCCAGAACTTGTCAAATGACATCATGTCCAGCACTTCAATCAGAGCCTGTGATAAATCAAATCAGTAGCATCTTCATGTTTCAAAAAAAGATACTAATAGGAACAAAAAGGAATTGCAATCTTAGAGTTTCAACCCTGTGATGGCTACATGCTTTAGCAGCTTTAGCAGTTCTCAGCTTGCCAGTGGCGGCTGGCCAGTGGTGGCTTTGGCAGGACACGAAATAGAACTCGGACTTGGACCGGGTCAGATACGACATTCATGTTTCCAACAGCTGCAGAGGCCCAATGACAGCACAAAAGCGTGGCAAACATCCAAGCCAAGAAGCATTGCAACAAGGCAGGTTGAAGTGTCCTGGTTTTCCAACCGTTTAACAACTGCAGTGAGAACATGCTTCGGTAGCCTGTCAACTTTTGAACTATGAGTTGCCCATGACCAGCTGCATGCCTACATTCAAAATGCTCACCCCATGGCCTTCGGAGCCGCCATGGGGTACTGTGGATAGTGGCCATGGGGTTAGCACAAGTTTCAGCCCCTTTGATCGCTCCCGTAACCACCACCGGCTAGGCATGGTGGATCTAAAAGTTTCACCCACCTTAGGAATCGAGGGCCCCTTATGTCAAGGGTATGGTTTCTCGATTCAGAAATTCAGCAGTGTCGCCAGCATAGGCGGCTCACAGGGATGGATCTGAAAGTTCCACCCCCCCTTGGACACTCCTGTGACCACCACCACTTGAAGATGTGGGTCTCAAAGTTTTCACCCCCCCTACGGGTCCAAAAGGGGCCCTTGTGTCAAGCACTTTTTGAAACGGTGTCTCGATGCTTTCTTTTCTTTCAATAAAAGCCCATCAGCGGTGTTGCCAATGTAGGCGGCTAAGCGGGCACAGATCTAAACGTTTCACCCCCTGAAGCGTTCGTGTGGAAGGGTTCGTGGGGCTGTTCTGTTGTTCCTTCTCATCCGTGCTCGGGGCTGGTTGCCTCAGGTCGGTTGAGAAGCTGCCTCTTGCCCAAGACAGTGCTTGGTTCTTTGTGGCGACAGGGGCGCCGCGACGCGTCAACGAAGGCCAGAGCCTGCATTTCCCTTTTCCGCAAGATGATGGCTTTCTTCTGGACTGGGTTGTGCTGGACTTGATCCGCGTCCCTTTTCCAAAATGCCCGGCCTGGCATGCCAGCCCCCCCGCTTTGAAGTGCCAGCTTCGCGCATCTTTTCCAAAACGCCCGCTTTGGAATGCCGGCATCGCGTGTCTCTACGAAAGCACCCGCTTTGGAATGTCAGCTTTTCCTGGTGTCAACAAGGGCCCGATTGTCCAGCTCCTGTGCCCGCTGCCGGTCTTCCGCCACCGACCTTGCCGGTAAAGCAGCCGCTCCGACATTCCAAACGGAAGGAGAAGCAGGATCCGAAGGACGAGACTGGGGAGGAAGAGGCAAAAGGCTGATGGCGGCCTGATGGCAGCTGATGGGATGCGGGCTGCTTTGGCCTGATCTTTTGAACCAACCTTTCATGCAGAAAATGTGAAGCAAACTGCCATTGACCACAGGTCTTGATGGCTGCAGTGAGGGAGAAAGGGTAATTTTCAAATGTGCTACCCGAACCCTTTCTTGTTGTGATAAGACTAGACCTACAAAAAAAAAAAGGAATCCTCCCACTATCTTCACGACACAAGGAGTTCTGAGGTGGCGCATGTCCACAAAACAAAGTACGAGTAAGTAGAATCAGTCCATGGCCAATGACCAGCGAAACCAAGAAGGCACCTCTAACCGCCCATCGCCGCTCCCTGCGCGGTGAGCCCGTTCCGCTGCGCCTGCTGTTGCGGGATCGGCTCCTCTTGTTCCTCTGGCACTGCAGCGAGCAGAGTCTGCGCGCTGAGGCCAGTCCAAAGGAGACCTCGAGCGGAGAATTTCTATGCTCAAGCCACAAGTCAAGCTCTGACTGCCGCAACGAGCTAGAACACAACGAAGGTTGCCCCTAACAACAAAGAATGTCTTGGAAGGGTGGAGCACTTCCAATTCTGATTGATAGTGAGCTGTGTTGCTTTCTGTACTGTCAGCGGTGGCTCAGCCAATCTTCCAGAACCTCCGACTCTGACCACGCTCCGTGGAGCTCGCTCTGTCGGGGATCCTTCTGCCAAGGAGCGCGAGAGGGTGCGCATGGACGAAGGATATGGCAGGACACACAACGGCTACGAGTTTTCTTCAAGGCACATCTTGCCCCTTGAAGCCCAAATGGTGCGGCATGCGGCCAGTAACAAGCCACTACAAGGCCAGTGTCTAGTGGGACTGCCCATAACAGGCACACATGGCTCACGAGAGTCTTCAAACAGCATGGGCTGCAAACCACTCAACCTCACAGAACCTTGTGAAAAGACATGGAAGGTAGCCCTCCAAAGACTTGTTGTCTCTATATGAAGGTCGACCAGCAGTCAACCCACCACACTGAGGCATAGAATCACAGCGAGGACTGCATCAAACACGGGCACGCCAGCAGCTCTAACCCTGCACATAGGCTGTCAAGAAACCCAATGAAATTGGTGCCTGCCTATATATCTAGATTGGCACGTCCAACGCATTAAAACTAATTCCATGTAGTTGTCTAGGGTGGTCCAATAATTTTCACAGAGCGGAAGATGATGGAACAAAAAACCTGGGACCTCGCATCTGTTGAACCACCCTAAACCACCTGTGACCCTGTGTTGATTTTGGTCCCATTCAACATCAAAAAACAAAAAAAAACAGCTTCCCCCAACAAAAAGAACCCACACCGTCTCACTGGGCGCGTGGGCGCCACCGCCCCGGACTCCGGACCAGGCCAATCCCCCCTTCAATACGGCACCTTGAGCCGCACCTCTCGTGGGCCCGGGGGAGCGACTGTCACCTCCTCCACGCGGAGGTCGTTTACCCCTCGGGCCACTGCAGCCTGAGGTGGAAGCGCCATGGTCTCGACACGGGGGGGGGGTGGATTGATTTGGTCCCGAAGAAAGACCGACGCTTTGGACGTCATCGACCTGTTGGATGGGGAGGAAGAAGAACCAGCAGAATCTGGTCGTAAGAACTTCTTGTACCAGCTAGTGACTGGTGGGTGTTTCCTGAGTCTCCGAGCGCACACTTCTTTTCTCGGCAGGGCCGGGAAATCGGTGCCTTGCTTGGTAGCACCAATGAAGTGCCAATTCAGAAAACCTTTGTCGGGGTTTGACTTGTTTTGGCCGAATCCACCCACAGGTCACCAGTCAAATTGATCAACATTGCCTTCCCCAGACCAAGTTGCCCCTTTTCGACCAACTTCGCCCCCTCCGGGCCCCCTCCGCTCCGCTCCTCGCAGCACCAGCCCACCTTGCACTTGATCGGGCTCGCGAAGCCACGGATCTGCCCCAGGTGCACACAGCACCGCTGGACGAGTGGCACGCGGGCGCTGCAGAGCACGCGGGCGCTGCGGAGCGCTGCCATGGTCGAAGCTCGGAACTCCACCCCTCTGAGCCCGCTCAAGAGCTCGGACTTCGGCGCGGCCCGTCGGCTTCGGCCCAGAACACCCGAAGAAGCGCGACCCAAGCACCAGGCGCGGCGCTGCTTTTTCTGCCAAGCGACCTAAAAACCCTTAGTAAACCTACCACGTGCTCCTACTGCTCGGCAGTGGTGGGTGGTGTTCTACAAAACGCGCCAATTGCGTCTGGCCTTTGTAGGGCTCTCTCAAAAAGAACTGCAGTAAACACATGGCTGCAAGAAACAGATCATTGGGCTCAAGGTACATCAATCGATTGCAAAGGACACCAAGTCCAAGTACCACAAGTTGATGGACCGTATTTCCCAGAGTTCTGAGTGCTGCATTTGACCTTTTAAACCCTAAAATTCCAAATGACTTGGGACAAAAAACATGACTGACCCTGGAAGGCCTTATATGGTCAATTCATGTGAATGGTACAGTATTATTGTACCATATAATAATTATATATATATATATAATCTACTAGTTGCTAGTCTCTCTTGAAGATATCGTTCAGCTCACTGGGACGGCCAACATCCATGCAACGATCTAGCGGTGCTGATGTAGAGCTCAAGCCAATGCTGAACATCCTGCTAGACCTCTGTTGACATCAAAACGGCAAGCCCAAAGGCCTGTGCCAAAAGCATTCAAGAGCAGCTGTTCGTTTGTGTTCTCAGTGTGCCACATAGAAGTCATATTCTATAAGTGCTGGCATTTCTACAATGACCCACCCACTTCTCCTCCCACCGACCTGCCACAAAATCAGCCGGGACGTTCAAGGGGCCCCAGTCCGAGTCCACGGGGTGCCCCGCGGGGGTCTCAAGCAACGAGGACGGACATCACGCGAGGGCTGCGCCTCCTCCATTCGAATCCGTTCTCGACTGAAGGAGCCTAGGAGCCCTCAGTTTTGAGACACATGGATGGATGGCCATTCTCTGGATTTCAGTGCTGGTGTCTGCAGGCATTAGTGCTGACCTACATATATATACATAAGCTAGTCAAATGGCTGGTGCTAGCATTCTGGCTATGCTTCTGGGAGGGGAGGTGTTCAAGGTCTCTCCAAAGAGATGCACTCACACAAGATTGTTTTGGTTCATCTTAGGTCTTGATCTCAGCTTTCACCAGAGATGCCCCTTCTGCACTTTGAACAGCTTGGCCGACCCGGATCGGCTCAGCAGTATGTGACAACCTTGGAGGTGGCAGAAATGGTGGCGGTGCATGAAATCTGGCAAGATTTGGGTTGTTATTTCACCACCACAAGGGCAGAATGGTCTGCCAGGGAATGTAGAGCCATGTAGAGCCTGTGCTTCAAAGCCACGAGTCAACTTACAGTCCAGCACCCGCCGGTTCACCTGCAAGTCTACGGTGACTCCGCCCATAGGGGTGACTCTTTACCGGGGAAAACCGAGAGAAAACCGCTTGGACCACGCGTTTCTTGGGCTCTCCCGTGGCCGTCGGACTCAACTGGCTGTAAACGCACAGCGATCGACCATGAAACGTGCTTTTCCAGCTGAAAATGTCCGCTTAATAATGATCGAAGCTGTTGCAACAATGCCCTTAGAGTGGTTAGATAAAGCCCTCGAACCCTGCAACCTCCCGACGTTCTGCAGGTAGCCAGGGAAACTTGGTCCCCTCAAACTTTGCAGCAACAAACGGGCCACTTCGCCATGGTGAGCCTCAACATGCATGGCCTTATTTTGCCACCAGCTGTCCGGGCAGCAAGCAAAGAACGGTATTTTTTGGGCCATGGCCCGTGGATTCTTCCCCTCCTTCGACGAGGAAAACAACCTAGGCACAGCCCGCAAGCAGTCCCCGGAGTGGAGAGCCTCGATGGCCTCCTTGGTGCCTGGGCAAAGAGCAGGAAGCACAGTGAAAGCGGCAAAGGTTTTGCATTGCCAAAGAGCATCGTCTTGTGCACGTGCTAAGGGTGGATATATGTCATAAGTGTATATACTATATACATACATACATACATGACATGACATGACATGACATGACATGACATGACATTACATGACATGACATGACATGACATGACATGACATGACATGACATGACATGACATGACATGACAT